GCAGTTCAGGCATCCCTTCCAGCTGTGTCAGTTTTTGATGACTGTGTGTCATGATGAAATGCTGGGAATAAGTAAGGGATTTGTGAAACTAAAAACATACTGAAGGAGTTGCTTAATTTAGAATGAACAAGCTATTTTCAAAGCACAGTGGGAGCACTTCACATTGTATGGCCTGCATCTTCATTTGCACTGTAGGCTGTGCGTCAGCAAGGCTGCAGGATGGAGGCAACTTGACAATGCTTCATTTCCATTTTTACATATGCAAGAAACCAGCACATTGTATCTACTCAGGGGACTTTCATGCTGTGAATTATATTCAGTTCCTTCCCCATCCCCTCTGACCTCCAGTCATGCAGGTATGAGTACAGATCTTTGCTCAATAAAATAAAAAGTTTATGTAATTTACACTCCGTAAAGCCCTGATATAAATATGAACCGTGGAATGAAATAGGTTAGAAAATCACCCTTTTGTGAACAGTTTCTGTTAACTTTGGTGACTGAAACAGAGTGGTGAACACAGAGCATGAATTGGGCATGTAGGGGTGACAGCAATAAAAATTAAGAATTTGCTTGAAGAGATTATAGGCAGGATGCCTTACACTGCTTTGTTCCCTCTGGGAGATGAAGAGTTTACTGAAGGAGAATACTTGGTAAATCAGCGGATGTTGTGCTCCACAAGCTCAGCAGTGAGTAATCCCTGGTTCACTTGTTCCTAGCCCCAGTAATCCAGTTATCAGGAAACAGCAGAACCCTGAGAACAGGGACTCCTCTCCTGGATCTTGACTGTGGATGCAAGTTTATCCATCTCCTCTGAGTTTGGAAGAGGCTGATATGAAGGAAAGTCACACAAGCAACCATGACATCCCTGGCAAAGAGCCATGCTCCAAGGAGATTATTCCACATCACCCCCACATGCCCTGTGTGCTGGAGGTGCCTGGTGTGGGGGATGCTGCATGGGCTGCCCACCCTGGTGCAGCAGGTTGCTCCTGCTCTCCAAGGGGGTGTCTGGGCCAGCCTCAGGGTCTACTGGTGGCTGCAGCAGCATTCTCTGGCTCCTATCACCAGATCGTCCCCATGGAACCTCACAGGGCCTCAGAATTCCCTGTTGCATTAGATTTTCAAAAGTGGTCCATTTAGAAATGTAGAACACATGATGAGTGTCTTTCAAAAGACCTCAGCACACTGGCTTTTAGGGCTCTGAAAATCTGCCTGGAGTTGTGATTGTGGCAGCTGCAGCTCTCCAAGCACCTTTGAAAAGCAGGTCCTCGTGTACTTTTCTCAAGGCAGACTGCATTTGTTTGAAACTCTGCCTCCACTGCTAGGTGGTGAGCTCATAAGCAATGTTGGAGGCTAAATTTTATTACCTTTCATGTAGGTTTAAGAGCTTTTGAAAATTCTTCCCATCAAACTTTTACATATCCCCCCCACTGGACGCAGTTAAAGAGTTGTCTCTTTGCAGCTGCCCTTTGTAGACTGGACAAAGGTTGAGAGATGAAAAAAAAAATACATCTACTGAAAGTATGTGGGGGATCTCTCATTGTCCAATCAAAAATCATTATAATGCAGGAACCAGCTCATTCCAGTGGTAAAACAGGGTATTGATGCTTACCTTCCTTTGGAGAGAGACTTGAGATCTTGAAATGAGCACAGAGCTGGTATGCTCATACAAATGCCCAGACATTTTGCCTGCTCAGGGAAGATAAACGCTAGAGTGAAATGACTAAACAGGTACACCATTTATTATAAACAAAACCTCTCAAATGCAATTTATGACAATACAAAAACATGTCTGTGAAACATCCTCAGCATTTTTAAGTCACTTCTGGGGAACATCTGCAGGCCAGGCAATGGTGAATAAAACCTGTGTCCTTCATCTTCCCTGAAACAGTCTATTTACATTTGACATAAATAATGAATATTTTTTACAATTTAAACTGTTTCAAGCATTATAGGATCTGGGTTTGTTGTTTTGGTTTTTTTTGGTTTTTTTTGTTTAGAGTTTGGGGGGGTTTTTTTGGGGTGTTTTTTTTTGGGTTTTTTTTTTTTTTTTCAGTTTCTCATTCCCTGTGGTCAGAAGACTTTGTCCTAAACCTGAAGCCTTGAATTGTCAAAAGCAAAAATAAGAAAGCTGTAAGTTTACACTTGAAGTGCTTCCTGGAATAACTATCAGCCTTGCAAAGACAAAGGTGAAGTACATCCTCCCCGATGTCATGAGAGCCCCTCCCTTCACCGATGGAGACGTCTGGGATAAAGTGATATGCCCCATCTCAGAAGAGTGATCAACATCACTGTCTGCTGCCAGATGAGCAGGATTTCCAGCATTGCTTCTCATTTCTTCCTTTGCTCACCCCACATAGTTTGCCATGTAAAAGGAAGAGAGGTTTCAGTGTAGAAGAGTTCAAATGGTGAAGAGAGATGACTTAGTGGTTCTGTTAGAAGATTTCTGTCAAACTGATCACCTTTTTTCATCTGGAAAAATAAACGTTCATGATGAGAGCTAGAGTTGTTATATCTCTGAGTGTTGGGTTTACAGATCCCAGTGTCAACAAACAACTGGAATGGGAAGGGAGACAAGTCCCCATCTCCTACTCAAGGTAGGTCACTGCCAACTACTGACCAGGCTGCTGGGCACAGGGGTCCATCAGGAGTAAACTAAGTGGCTTCTCCCACTTCCAGAAGTGTCCTCTCCCCTTTATCCCAATGCTCAGAAGGCAAAGTCTGGGGGGAAGGAGGGTGGAGGTGTGCATCCCTTTGTCATGCACCTGGCTCCCAGATATGCTGGGGGGTATTCTGGGAGAGCTGTCCCACCATGGTGTGTGGCTGGGCTGCTTCAGTAGCTCCACAGTTCCTCTCTGTGCCTTTGGTTCTGCTGTGCCAAATATGGCACTGCCTCCAAATGGCAACCACCCAACCTGGCAGCCTTGCCCAGAGCTGGCCCTGACTGCCAGAAGTGCCTGTGTGCCCCAACCAGAATGTGCACAGTTGCTCTGCGTCCTCTGCTTTTAATGGTGGTAACCTCCAGCCTGTTCTTAAAAGAGGCTTCTGTCTGAAAGGAATACCAGAAAAATGGGCTTCTCTGCACGCTCAAGCTCTCAGCACAGCACTTTCATGGGTGTTTGGCTTGAAAAACATATGTAAGTAGCCCTACTTGAAGTTAAGGGTACACATAAGTCCTTTGTTGACTTAGAGTGGACAGCAGAAAAACAGCTGAAAACACTGACCCAGGTCACAAGAATGAGGCAGAAAAAGAGCTATTGAAGCCTCCTGCTTCGAATCCCACTCTGGGACACCACTTTCAGACCCCTGGAGATTTTCCAGATTGTGTCCTGAAATTCTTCTTTTATGCAGAAACCAGTGATCACACTTTAATGCCTGCTTTGAATTTCCCCCCCTCTCACTTCCAAGTTACTCTAGCAGTCGGTGAAATATTCTTTTGCATGCAAAAATGAGCAGTTGCAAGAGAAAATATAAAGTACAACTTCATTTAATTCTGCAGGCTGGATTCCAAATTAACTATGTATTGCCACAGCCCAGAAAGGCTTCGTATAAATTCATAAATAGCCTGATGTAAAGCAGTAGGGCATCAGTAATAGTTATATCTTAATTCAGTTCTAAGAAGGAGTTTTTTCAGACTGTTATAAGCCAAGCAAATTTCCTTCTGCTGCATCTCAATATGCATTATCTATGGATGCCAGCATGATGGGTACCTCATAAACAGAAATTACTGCATAGAATGGTGAACTTTGTCCCTTGGTATTGTTACCTCCAAATTAAAAAATTAACAAAAAGGTGCACAGAGTTCAAGCTTGATAACTTCAGAGTCAGTGCTAATATTCATTTGCCTACCTTAACAACAATGTTAGGCTTTATCTTAATTGGTTTTATTAATGTCACTTGTCTAGGGAGGACAGGGGAAGAGGAATTTGTCTTTATATCATTATTCTCTTTCATTGGAACAAATGAATACCAGAGTGCAAGGAAAATAGGTATTCTTTTACTTAAGAAGGTGGGATGGCTTTTCTGAACACATTGATTGCAGGATGAAATTAACTGGGTTAGGTTTTGGTTGGTTGGTTGAATTGTTTGGGGCAGGGCTGTTTGGTTTGGGTGAGTTTGGGGGTTTTTGTGGTTTGTTGGGGGAGGTGGCTTGGGTTTTGTTTTTTTCTTGCGGCAGGGGGGGATTTGGGGTTGGTTGGTTGTTGTTGTTTTTTTGGGGCGGGGGGGGGGGGGGGGGGGGGGTGGATGGGGAGCCAGTGACGCACGTCGGGAGCCCTCAGTGATGAGATGTGTATTCTTTCACCTAAAGAGTTAAGGGCGGCGCTGGCCGCCCGCCCTTGCGGCGCTGCCCGGAGCATCCAGCAGGCGGCCGGCGCTTCCCGGCGCTCCCGGCGCTGCCAGCAGCCCGCGCACACCGTGGGAAGCAGCGCAAGGGCTGACGTCCAGAACATCCCGCCTATGGGATCCCAGCCGCCAGCCGAGCCCCGCTTTCCCCCCTCGCTTTAAATCCGGCTGGCGAGCGCAGGTACCGAAAGCGGGAGAGATTGGCAATGCAGCGTGACAGCAACTCCCCAAAGTTCTTGCTTTCTGTGACTCCCTGCTTTCGGACTCGGAGCTGCCGGGCAGACCTGAAGCTGGGAGTTTAACGAGCCGCGTTTGCGAAAATGCCTGCCACTTGCTGGTCCTTGAATCCCATAATTTGCCTTCCAGAGGTGAGGAATACTTAACAGCTAGAGAAGTGGAGGAGGAAAAGGCAAGTTTCACAATTCAAACAATGCTAAAACGTTCTCCTTTCACCGTATGGAAACGGGACCGTGGACAAAGCTGCAGGTGCTTTTTGGTTTGGTTATTGTCAAGATGTGTCACAAAGTAATATGACTTTTAAACTCTTCTGACTGTTTAAAGCCAGCAAGGAGAAGCAAAATTAAAGCAAGAAATTAATTGGAGGAGTTTGAGGACTTTCAAAGAAGAAAGCTGTTTTCTGAGAAGAGCAAAGTAGGACGATGGCATCTGGAGAGTGCCTTCTGCTAGACCTAGAAACAGATAACTTCATTTTCTATAACATCTCTGTCAACCAGAGTGCAAACTTCTCCCTGCTTGGGGAAGACTGGTTTTACCCAGCATTCCTCTACGCCATCCCCACAATCTATGGGATCATCATTCTGATAGGCCTTATTGGCAATATCACCTTGATTAAGATCTTCTGTACTGTGAAATCCATGCGAAATGTCCCTAATTTGTTCATTTCCAGTTTGGCTCTGGGAGACCTGCTGCTTTTAGTGACTTGTGTGCCTGTGGATGCCAGCAGGTATCTTGCTGATGAGTGGCTGTTTGGCAGAACAGGATGCAAACTTATCCCCTTCATACAGCTCACCTCTGTAGGGGTGTCAGTCTTTACTCTCACTGCTCTCTCTGCTGACAGGTAAGCTTGGCTGCTGTTGCTTTGGAAAGAAGCCTGCATATTATTACTCCATAAAATGCACAATTATAAAATTGTATTTTCAGGTAAAAAATTGATTTTTAATGTAATGAGGGAAGAACCACCTAAGGTGATTTCTGTGCACATTAGCTTACAACTTGAGAAGGATGCAGACTGAACACAGGATACTTTTTCTAAACTAAATATTTGTGCAATTTAGCTAATAGTCTACATTAATTCATAGAGAGACAAGAACAGATCAAGTTAAAGACCAGAGAGAAAAAATGTCATTAATGAAGCTCTGCTAAAAGATAGCATGTTCATATTTGCCAAAAAGATAATTGATCCATACTTCATGAAGTGTGAAGGTACTGGAGCAGCAATTTAAAGTGCAGTGAGAATCAATTCTTTCTAGGGGCTTGCTTTCTTAAAGTTAATAATATGTGAGGCAATATTTCATAAAATATTTTTTCAAATATTCAAATGAGCTTGCTTGAAGCCAGGAATTGCAGTTGCCATAGCCAGTGTATTTCCCTTGGTTAAACAGTTTGCCCCTTATCCAATCAAAAGTGATCTGTGTTATTGGTTCAGAAACTTCATTTTCCAATAATGTTTAGTAAAAAATAATGTGTAGTAAATATGCTGGTTTATTTTCTGGATGCTTCCAAGAGAGATTAAAGAATACACTGTCACCATGCTGAAGTGACACAGAAGTACTGAGTGAAAAAATATTTCAGTTTTGTTGTGATCAAAAAAGACATGGGAATTGTAACCTTGTGTACAAATAAGTGAAACTAGGTTCCCTTTGGGTAGTCTCTTGCATGACACTGTCTCTCACTAAGCTGCTTTAAAACATCAGACTACTTTTGTTCAGATTTCAATGTAGTTCACACACATATTTCAATATACTTTTTGCAGTCTCAATGAAAGCAGATAACTCCTCGGTGTTTCAGAGACAGAATGGTCAATATGTTTGTCCTCTCCTCTGTGTTGGGATATATAAAAATAGCACTGTTTGTCCCAGTAGCAGATGACAAACACACCTATGTGTAGATAAAAGTCTTGAAGCAATATGCTTTAAAGTTCTGTGAAGATAGGAAAACTGCACTAGTGAAAGGCCACATGCACTTTTGCTCCTGAGTTTGATGTGGTGTCTGGTATCCCTCTGACCACTCTGAAGAAAATACTGGGAAAACAATAAGTATCTCTCCAGGAAAATGCATCTTTCTAAAGCTGTAATGTAAGTTGTTTAAAGAGGTGTAAGGAAAAGAAAAATGCATTGTAAAGAAGATTGTGTTAGAGATATTTATTGCTATCTGATCACATGCTACATAAAGTAAACATTGCAAATGCTTTCACTGAGCAGCACATCAACAGCACTTTTTGCCTGAAGTGGTAGAACAGAACAGAAAACAGCAGCTGTGCCAAGCTTGGGATTTGGTGACTTCAAGTTCTGAACTTCAGCTTTATCAGGAACCTATTAACCATCATGCTGCACTGATGATCAAATGTTTCCATTTACAAGGGAACATTTTACCCTCTTCTAATGCATCTGTGGTCCACTACAGAAGGATATAATAATGAAAGTTATAACTTTGTTAAGTTTATGATCCAATATGCTGTGCATTGAAGCACAAGTGTCCCTTATCTGTTAAATTTGCTGAAGTTTCTATTTTGATAAATTAACAGCAGAGCTGGATTAATTTTGTTACAAAATAATACAGTCTATATTTTGCAGCTCACAACCCATTAGTCTATTTCCTTAAAGCTGTCACCCTGAACTCAAGACCCCAGGATTAATCATTAGGGAAATAACCTTAAAATGTGAAA